AAGAACCTCAATCCCCAGAAAATAATTAAGAGAACCAAGGTCTTTGATTCTGAACTGTTCATGCAGAAAAGCTTTTAAGGAGGAAATCTCAGACAAATCAGTCCCAGTAAGGATGATATCATCCATATACACATCGAAAATAACCAAAGAAGACCCAGAACCCCTAGTAAACAAGGAGTAATCATTTAAAGAATGAGAATATCCTCTAGAACAAAGTGTTTGAGACAGTTTAATATACCATTGTCTGGAGGCCTGTCTCAAACCATAGAGGGACTTAAGTAGCTTGCAGACTAAAGGAGGAGAAGAAGAACAAGAAAGAGGAACAAACAGACCAGGAGGCACCTTCATAAAGACCTCCTCATCAAGATCTACATGCAAGAATTGTATTATTAACATCAAGTTAAAATAAAGTCCATTGTTGCTTAACATCAACAACAATTAAAGACTTCACAATGGACATTTTAACAAAACGAGAAAAAGTTTCATGAAAATAAACCCCCTTAATATGAGTATCACCCCCTAACCACCAACCTGGCCTTAGACCTTTCCAGACTCCCATCAGCTCTATATTTCACTTTGTATACCCATTTGCAGCCTATAGGCTTTTTACCAGGGGGTAACTCAACAATATCCCAAGTTCTATTAGCCTCCAAAGTCTCAAACTCCTTTCTCATACCATCCTTCCACTCAGGGATAGCAGCAGCCTGAGAGTAAGTGTAAGGTTTAGTGATATGAAGCTGAGTAGTGGTTACATTGAAGGAAACAGATTCAAAACTAGAAGGAGCAGGAAGAGATGCAGAAGGAGGAAAGGTAGGACATACATAATCCTGAAGATAAGCAGGAACAATATGAGGTCTACCAGATCTTCTAATGGGGGGAGGAGAAGAATGGAGAACAGTAGGGGTAATGGAGCTAGAAGAAGGGAAATCAGGGAAAACTGAGGAAGGAGAAGGAGGAGTAGGGATGAGAGAAGGCTGGGGAGAAAGATCAGGAGCAGGAGGAAAGAGAGGAAAGTGGGAATCATCAGAAAAATGACCAGGAACAAAGGAAGAGGGTATGGCAGGACATGAGGAAACAAAAGATTTAGAGAAAGGAAAGATGTGCTCATGAAATATCATATCTTTGGAGACAAAACAGGTTTTAGTAGACAAATTGTAAAGTTTATAACCCCTTTTGCCAAAAGGGTATCCAATAAACACACATGGGATGGACCTAGGGTGAAACTTATCTCTATGAGATTTGGGGACTGTTGAGTAGCAAAGGCAGCCAAAAGACCTGAGATGAGAATATAAAGGAGCCTTCCCAAATAGTAATTCATAAGGACTCTTGTACTGGAGAAGAGAAGAAGGAAATCTTTTTTATCAAGTAAGTAACAATGAGAAGAAAATCACCCCAGAACTTAATAGTAAGGTGAGACTGAAATAAGAGAGCCTTGGCAGTTTCTAACAGATGCCTATATTTTTTTTCAACTACACCATTTTGTTGAGGAGTATGAGGACAAGAAGTTTGATGAATGATCCCCTTTTTAGAAAAGAAAAAAGAACCAGAGGAACTGGAACCTCACTCTAAAGCATTATCATTTCTTACAGTTTGAACTTTAATTTGAAACTGTGTTTCAACCATAAAGATGAAAGCTTTTAACAAATCAAAAGCATTACTCTTTGCTCCCATCAAATGTGTCCAGGTAGCCCTGGTATAGTTATCTACTATAGTAAGAAAGTATTTGGAACTACAATGAGTGAGAGTGGACTAGGGACCCCAAGTATCTATATGTATAAGCTGGAAAGGGTGAGTGGACTGGATAGAACTATCAGGAAAAGGAAGCCTAGTCTATCTTGCTAAGGGGCAAATGGGACAGATGAAAGATTGTATAGAGGATAGTCCACAATCAATACCAGAAATAAGTTTTATTTTGGAAAAGGGAATATGTCCAAGTCTATAATGCCAAACAACATCAGATTTATCCATTTTATTGGAATCAACCATGGTATTTATAGATGAATTGTCAATAACAATATTATTAGACACTACAGGTACAAAGCAAGCAAAAGAAGAACAAAAATTGACATTAAGAGATTCACAAGAGAAGTGACATATTCGAACAGCTTGTAAAGTCCATTGTCCAGTCTACCAAGTACCACTGGCTTCCTCACTGAAGGGCCCTGAAAAGTACAAGCAGACTTAGTGAATTGTACAACATCATCACAATGAGACCAAGAGCTTATGGATAGATATGAGATTATGTTTAAAACTAGGGATGTAAAGAACATTATGAAGAATTAACTCAGGAAATAAAGCTAAAGAACCAACATTGGTAACCTTCACTTTATACCCATTTGGAAGAGACACAAGATAAGGAATAGAAAGAGTGATTATATCAAAGAGTAAACTCCTAATGGAAGTCATGTGATCAGTAGATCCAGAATCTATTATTCAATCAATGTCATTCACACTAGACAACATACAAGCTCCATAAGAAACACCCTCATAAGGCATGAGATTACCAGCAAAGTTAGCAGAGAGGTGGAGTATGTGGAGAAGCAGAGATCTGTGATTGTCGTAATAAGATCATCAGTTGAGAGTATTGATCATTGATAAGGCTAGGTATGCCAGAAGACTCCTCATTCTCAACAGGACCATCAGAACCACCAGGCACAGAAGAACCACCAGAGGATTCAAGCTCAACATATCCAGCAGTTCTGCGAGGGGGAGGTCCTTGTTGAATTTGAAATTGGGAGGATATCCATGCAATTTATAGCATTTATCTATATAATACCCAGGTTTCTTGCAATATTTGCATATGACAGAAGACCTGGGAACCTCAAAGGAAACCTTGGAAGGAAATAATGGCTTAGAAGTCCCAACATTGAATGAAGCAGAATGTGTGGAGAATTGGGAGGTAGAAGACGCCTGCCTCTGCTTCTCATCAGATAATAAGATGTTGTACACATTCCCAACAGATGGAAGTGGTTTCAGCCATAACAACTTCCATGAAATAGACTAGAGACCAAAGAGGTTCCGAGCACATCTGATGGATATACGTATAATGGATGTGTAAAATCATCTTCGTGAAATACAGTACGAGATGCAGTAGAGGAAGAAAAAAGGTGTAATTACAGGATTATCATTCGTCACTGAGAGAAAATATATCAATAAGAGACAATCAACAATTCAACAAACAAATTGATGAAATATGAAGATAGAACTAATTTACCCCCTCTTTTGCAACCGAAAAGAGAACAGCCTTGTGAACAAACTTCCGACGACTCAGCTAACACCGACGAGAAAACCCTAGCTCGAAGTAGATGAGCAAATCAGCCCAGGTACAGTCAAATATCAAGAGAAATAGTGAAATCCAGCAGAAACAGACAATAATGAGAAGGAATCACCCAGAAAAAAAAACAAATAAAACGCTAATCCAGTATGAATATAGTCCAAACTAAAAACGCGATGAAAACTGAAGAGGTTAACATCGATCAGAAGTTGATGAGATGATCTACCAGGATCTACACTCTGATACCATGTTAACTATCGAGATTTACAGCGAGATTGACAAAATGTAAAATAGGGTTCATAGCTTGAGAGAAGGTTCGAGAGAATCTCATCTCGTCTATTTCTAAGAAGTGTCTCTCTGTTTAACAAATGAGAGCACCTAATAATAAATAGTTAGTGGGCCTGACCCGGTAGGTCAACTAATACAAATAATGGATTCAATACAAAATGGCCCAAACATTCCGCCTTTATCTAATATCCTAACAGTAAAAATAAGTGTGAGATTTAAAGAACCTTTAGTTTTAGAGAACTTCTAATTTACCTTGTTATTCGATATTGGAAGGAATTGACTTAAATAACGTGGAACAAATACAGAAGAGTCATATTTCCGTACCCAACTACTTTGGGATGGAGGGGATATTTTTACAACTGCAGAAACATTTATGTACTTACGTGTTAATGTTACTTACAAATGAAAAGATGGATTCATTTTCATGTATTTCATCTAGTGATTTTATTATAGTTTAATGTGACGCATCCTTTTTGTTTTCGTAGGGACCATGATTTGGTTATTTAAAGTAAAGGAAAAACAGAGAGAGCTTGCTAGTGCTTCATAAAACAAAGTGCAGGAGAGTTGCGTCTTCATAAAGGTGCTCTTTTTTCCGTTTCTTTTTAAAGCCTTTTAATCAAATAAGTGTTTTACCATTCATTTCCTGCAAGATATTTTTGCTAGTGCTTTCTGCATGCCAAATCGATCAATTTAAATCTGATTAAATAGGGTTTCATTTCAGTTGTGTTTCTACCCTCCTCGATATATCTCCCATGTAGAAGTTCCAAAAAAGTTGGAAATATTGTACTGTGGTTATATATACATGAGAATAGATGATTTTGTTTTTGAGCACCCTCTGTTGAAGTTGTCTACACGGTCATTTGTATGCCACAGCTACTGCATATGGCTCTAACATATACAGAGAAAGAGTGAAGAGTAATGTTGCTTGATGCAAGACACTTTTCAACGATAATTCTTGATTTACTTGTCCATTCCTTCATTATCCCCTTCTTGGCAATTCAGAATTTCATAGAACATTTCCCTTACTGTAAAAAGGTCCGAAAGGGATTCATTTATATCTCTTTGTCTGGATGTTTCTTTTCTCAGACTATTTTTATGTCTTGTATAGTTTTGCACACCAATAAATTGTGAGATGACCATAAAATATTTTTCTTTTTTTCCTTTAGATATCTGTGAACTGAATCTACCCAAAACATGTAGCATGTCATTCCCTAACGGAAAAGATGACCTCATGAACTTTGAAGTCGCCATCCGGCCTGATGAAGGATATTATATGTAAGTAGTCTTGTCGAATTATTCTTGAGTTTATCACTTTTTAAATTTTTATGGAGTAAATTCCTGCCAAAAGTTTAGTTCGGCTTGGTCATGCCTTTCTGCTTTCATATTGATATGGAAATTTGATGCATTTCTAGTTAGTTTTTTTTGGTGCTGATAACATATGCTGTATTATTTGTTCTTCGCCCCTGTATTCAGGGGTGGAACATTTGTCTTCTCTTTCCATATTTCTCCAATCTATCCTCATGAGGCTCCAAAGGTTAAATGCAAGACAAAGGTGGGCAATGGTTTATAGTGTTTTTTCACTCTCTTATTTTCATTAAGAATGAGTTGAGATTCCTGTTATTTATCATTAGAACCGGTAACTTGGTTTTTGCAGGTTTACCACCCCAATATTGACTTAGAAGGAAATGTGCGTCTCAACATTCTTCGAGAAGACTGGAAACCCGTGCTCAACATCAACACAATAATCTATGGCTTATATCATCTGTTCACGGTATTTGTTTTGCTAAGTCTCTGGTTTGGATTTACCCTATTTTAGGTAGTTGGTAGTTAGAACTTGTGATTGTGCAGGAACCCAATCACGATGATCCCCTAAATCTAGTTGCGGCTGCTGTGTTGAGAGACAACCCGAAGCTGTTCGAATCCAATGTGAGAAGGGCAATGTCTGGAGGATATGTAGGGCAAACATTCTTCCAAAGCTGCCTATAGCATATCTTGAGCGCAGAATCAATTAGTTCATGACGCCGATTCTGCAAGTTGTGAGCGCTGGAAGTCTGTAAAATTCAATGCGCTGGAAGTGTGCAAATGCGCTTAAATTTATGTGAATTAAACATGCAGAAATATAGTTTTGACTGAGAGACCTTTAAACTATTTCATAAAACAACAACAACACAAGTGTGTACGTAGATCTTACCCCTACCCTGAGATAGAGAGACTGTTTCTAATAGACTCTCGGCATCCTTCCCTCCAAAAACTCCCACCTTGCTCTTGGGGTGACTCGAACTCACAACCTCTTGGTTGGAAGTGGAGGGCGCTTACCATCAGAGCAACCCATGACTCGTATGATAATGAGACACTAGCTCACATAGCTTGGTCTAGTGGTAAGAGTTCCACGTTTGATATATGGGTTAGGCTCACGTCATGGTTTCAAACTTTCTGATAGACAAAAACATAATATTTAAGTGAAATAATAGAGGAGTATGCCCATTATCCACCGTATTCGAGCTTTGTAATGCTTGCCCTAAAATAAATCATAATTAATGAGACAAAAAAAAATTTACTTTCTGGTATAGGGATCAATCAAATATGACAAAAGAATAGCAAAGTAAGAGAAATCGAATTAAATTGGAGAGTAAAATTGTTAGGAACGTGAAAAACAAAGTGTGTACATATAGAGGAAGATAAATTAGAATTGATAAGAAGGTAAATATATTATTTAATTTAATAAAAGAAAATTTGTTGTTATTGACTCACTCAACTATACAATCTCAACCAAACTAAAAAATATTAAAATTTTATTTATTAATAATAGTTACATAAATTATATATTATGTATAATAATATATTATTTTATAACTTTGGGGCCTTCAATATTTAGGGCCCAAGGCAAGGGCTTCCTTTGCCTTACCCTAGAGCCGCGTAAAAATAACATGGACTAGCTAGTTTTCGGATTGGTAACTGAAAAATAGCCAGCGTTTGCAAACTCATTGAGAAATAGTCATTATTTTACTACAACACGGAAACTTCTAGGGAGATTGGTGCACTTGTGTATGAACTTCCAGCATATTATGCTGGAACTCCAACACACGGAAAGTTCCAGCATAATATACTGGAGATTGGAGTACATGGGTACGAACTTCCAGCATATTATGCTGGACCAGTATATTATGTTGGAAGTCCAGTATATTATGCCGGTAAGTTGAGACTAATTTAGGACATTTGTGTAAGTTTCCCTTTTTGAATTTCAACCTAAAGTTGCCTGTTTGCAGCAGGAAAAAAAAAGAAAGTGAAAGATAAAAGAAATAATGGCTCCCCACCCACACGGCCGTAATCTCACAACCGTAAAGGGTAATGCATGTGGTTGGTTTTGTACAATTACCACCATTCCAAAAGTATGATTGAAAATAAAGCTTGAAATGATATTTTAAATAATATAATCCTTCACTTTCAACTTATTAACTCCATTCGTTTTTGTTATGTGATAAGTACTTATTTTTCTTTTTAGTCTATTTTTTAAAAAAAAAAATTAAAAGAAAATTAATTCTGGAATCTTCATCTTACCCGTAATAACATTTTATAACTATAAAGTATCATGCTATGTTCAAATCATAAATTTTAATTTTTTTAACTTCATGGACACTTAAACATCTTCACATAAAATTGGATAGAGAAAGTATTATTTTATACAACTTTTGTAAATTTTAAGAATTTAACTACTCAAGCTATACACTTTGATGCGATATATAATCTATAAAATTTATTTTAACTATCTTCTCAGTAACATTGTTCATTTCAACGTGATATATAAATTAAATTAATATTATAAACTAAAGCTAATCAATTACTGTTGTATAAAATTAAATGAAAAAGGTAATAAGTATTAAATAGCCTCCAAATATTATTTTAAATATGTGAAATAATATCTATGTACCAAAATTATACTAATAAGAAGAAAAGAATAATAATTATCTTTTGTTTTTAATTTCTGGATTTAGCCATAATTTGCTTGAGAAAGGAAGAGATTTGCAGAGCAGATGTTTCAGACTGCTGTCCTCCTGCTCCCTCAATCACCTGATCTGAGCCACACACTCTGTTGACCTCCTCACTTTCGTTTCATTACTATATTTCATTTGCACATGCAAAGTAATTAACATACTTCGATACTCCAATTTTTTTAAATCAAATTAGACTAAGAGCCCGTTTAGCCATGAAAATGTTTTCACTTTTTTTGAATTTTTTTTTTTTGAAATCATTGTTTGGTCATAAAATTTTCTAACTTTTACTTGAAGATAAATTTTGAAATTTTTTGAAAATTTAAAAAACTCCAAAAAGTTATTTTTCAAAATTTTTACTCAGACCACTCACAAAAATTCAAAAATAACTCAAAATTATATTACTATCAAAACTCAACTCTAATTTTCAAATATCATTTGTACTTGAATATTTTTTTCACTTTTTCCGAAATTTTACACTTTTTATGTCCAAACGCCCACTAAATTACTTCATTAAACTATGCGTTGACAACTCCTTTAACACTATTGCCACACTGTTTTTATTTGTTTATATATTTATAATAATTATATTTGAGTCAGCTTGTTCACTTATAAAATTACACTAAATTTGTTATTATTGTTGTTATTGAGTCAACTTGCGTGCAACTCGAAGGAACACTTTTAATTCAAAGGCCTTTACTTAAGGGCGAATGGATTTCCACTATTCTATGGTTGTCTATTAACACTGTTATCACAACTTTCGACTATTTTGCTTTTGGTGTATAATGTCTCAATTTCATTGAATTGTTAGTAATTTAAATAATACTTCAATTTAGTAAAAATTGTAAATTTATATTCTTTAGTTCTTTTCAGAAACAATATACAGATGCTACCATTTTCCATTACTAAATTTATAATGTGTTAAATAGGAAAAGAAAAGGTTTTCAATCATGGTACAAAAGAAGAAAAGGCGAAAATCAAAAGCATCAAGCAATCAACAGCCAGTCAAACTTTGACTTTGAGCATGTCCCATGTAAACGCTCACACATTCTTTACTGCTAACGAATTTTATCTTCTCAATTATTTCTAAAGTATACATCTGTAAAGATTAAGGCAGAACGGATTCAAGATTTTGAGGACCCATTCGAGCACAGATCAACATTTTATTAGTTAAACTTAAAGTAAAATGTTTAATGTTGGTTTAAAGATGTATTTCAAGTGAGGCTTTATATATAGAGAGAACTTTTGTCGGACTTTAAACTCTTTGTCTATATACTTTTTAGGTATAAAACCACTGACAAATTGGGATATTAAAATTAATTTGAAAAAAGTATTTGATGAATGGTCATTTATCTGTTACTCTCTAAAACTTCCTGGCTAAGATTATCAATCTAATTATAGGAATTTTCATAAACCACTATTGTTTTGTAACTATTAACTTCTTATATCTACCATATACATAATTACTTCCTATAACTACTATTCAGTGTATTCGCTGTATTCACGCGACTGTATTCATGAATACAACAACAAAAAACATCCTAAAATCAGGGCAGTACAGCTGTACGCACATGTATTCACAGGTATTCGCGTTGTTGTTTCATGAATACACCAGCAAAATGCGCCTAAACTCAGGGCAGTCCAGCTGTACGCGCATGTATTCAATTGTATTCGCGACATGTAATTCATGAATACAGTAACGACAATCACCTTAAAAATAGGTATGTCCAACTGTGTAACGACCTGACTTGTCGTTTTAAGAATTAACGCCCCGCTCAATAACTTAAGGTCTCGAGAAGTTTCGCAATATGTATTATGACTCGCGAGTGTGGTCTGTAACAACCCAACTTATCGTTTTAAGAATTAACACCCCGTTCAGTGACTTAAGGTCTCGAGAAGCTTCGTAATATATATTATGACCCGCGGGTGTGGTCGAGTTTGATTTTTCGAAAGATTCGGAATTAAATTGGAAGAACAATTCTTATTTAGAAGCTTAAATGGAAAGAGTTGACAGGAGAGTTGACTTTTGAGCAAACGGCCTCGGAATGGAACTTTGATGATGTCAATAGTTTCGTATGGTGATTTCGGACTTAGGCGTGTGTCCGAATTTGGATTTGAAAGTCCGTAGGACAATTCGACGCATTTGGCGAAAGTTAGAAAATAGAAGATTTTGAAAAGTTCGACCAAAGGTGGAATTTTTGATAACGAGGTCGGATTTTAATTCCGGAAATTGGAATAGCTCCATTGCGTTATTTATGACTTGTGTGCAAAATTTGAAGTCATTCCGGATTGATTTGTTACATTTCGGCGTAAAATATAGAAGTTAGAAGATTTGAAAACTCATAATTCGATTCAATGCGCGATTCGTAATTTCGGTGTTGTTGATGTAATTTGAAACCCCGAGTAGGCCCGTGTTGAGTTACGAGACTTATTGATAAATTCGGACGAGGTCTCGGGTAGCTCGAATGAGTTTCGGACGAGGTTCAGATAGAATTTGGACTTGTTGAAAATGCTATGATTTCTGCTGTTTCTGGGCAGCAGCTGTTGGAATCGCACCTACGGAATTTTGGGCGCAGGTGCGACCATGCAGAAGCGAGGGAGCCATCGCAGAAGCGACATTGACAAGGCTGGCAACTCATCGCAGAAGCGGACAGGTTTGCGCACTTGTGACATCGCATGTGCGATCAGTGGAACGCAGAAGTGGCAAGGTCCGCAGATGCGCCTTCGACCATTGCTTCTACGATTGCGCAGATGCGAAATACTTTCCCCAGAAGCGGTTCTGGAAAGAATCATAAGGACCAAAAATGGTCATTTCGCCATTTTCGTTTTGGATTTTTGGAGCTCGGATTTGGGCGATTCTTGAGGGAATTTTCACAAGCTTGGTTGGGGTAAGTGTTCTATATCCTAAAGTGATTATATTTCATGAATCTATAGTTATATTCATCGTATTTAAATGGAAGAAATCAAAATTTTTGCAAAATCTTTCAAAAACGAAAATTTAAAATTTGGAGGTCGAGTTGTTATCGAAAATTGATAAAATTGGTATGGTTGAACTCATATCGGAATGGGTGTTCGGATTTCATGAAAATTATTTCGGATTCCGAGAGGCGGGCCCCGCGTTGACTTTTGTTGACGTTTTTG